AAAAACCCCATTTCTGTTACAGTGTGATTCCATCCTCCTCTCTTGGGCCTCTCCCTCCCAACTCTCTCCAACAAGCCCTTGGTCCTCAGGGCTTGTCCTTGCCCTCTTGCTTTGGGAAGGGGGCCCCGTGCCCAGGGGTTATTGGGACTGATACCAAATTAGAAAATATTATACAATCACTGGAACCCCAGGGCTCGGCGACTCTTCAGGACAGAAGCCCAGGGCCTGGAGGAGGTTGATGCCAGTGTAACGTGAACCAAGCATGAAGGACTAGCCTAGTCTGATCTGGGGACCCCCTGCCCCCCGCCTGGGTTCTAGTGTGTTCAGTAGGCCCTCAGAGCCTGCTTCCAGGTGTCAGATGTGAGACTGGACGCCTTCCCAAGCCCGTAGCCCAATCTGGCCCCACTCCCTTCCCACATCTGGCCTTAAAAGGAGGAAAAAGAGCCACCGTACCTTCCCCCAGGGAGGCAGCCACACAGGCCCCACCAGGGGAGGTAGAAGTGGCTCAGGGGATGGCAGGAGGGCCCAGCCGCCGAGCTCCTGGGGTGCCCCACAGTGCTGTGCACTCTCGGTCTCACGTGCTTCCCCATCTGCAGTGACGGGGGCACACTGGACAATGGGCTGTAACCCCTACTTGGCTCCAGGAAAAGCAGGCAACATTGACTGGGCGGCCCTCCCCGGTGGCAGTGGCTCAGCTAAGTCCTCACACACCTAACATGGTTTCATCCTCATAAACCCGTTTTATAGTGAAGGAAGTGAGGCTGAAGGAGGTTATGATTAGCCCAAGGTGACACAGCATATAAGTGGCAGAACCAGGATTTAAACTAGTCTTCCGTTGGGACAGGCTGCCCTTGGGATCTGGGGTTTGGTAGAGGTCAGGCTGGGAGCGAAGAAATGAAGGGGACAAGGTTAGAGAAAGCCACTGGAGTGTGCCTGGCGGAGGTGGCTATGCCCATGGACTCTAACATCTACTGCAGCTCTTCCTGTGGGGAGGCCAGATATTCCTTTGGTGTCTGGCTCCCAAATAAGCTTTCCTTACCTTAAGGGCCTGGAGCATATACATGACTCCCGTCATGGCGGAGGGGGGGGGGGGGGCCAATTCCTCTCTGTCAGATTCTCCGCTCATTCCAGTAGCCATGTTTTTCAATGGACCCTGAGTGGACACTTGCTAGAAGGTTATCAGGATGAAGCTGAGAAAGGCAGAATACTACAAATTGGGGAGAGACCAAGGCCATATGCCTGAATTTTAGCTAGAAAGGTCAGTGCCCTCCGTAGGCAGTATTTGTGGTGTTGGGGTGAGGAGTGTGGGCTCTTGAGCCAGGTTGCCTGGGTTCAGCTATCTACTCTGCCTTAATTAGCTGTGTGACCTTGGGCATGGAGCCTCAGTTTCCCCAACTGTAAAATGGGAACAATAATGGGAACTACCTCTTAGAGTTAGTGTCAGGATACAATGAGTTAATACACAGAGCTTAGAATAGGGCCTGGCACATACTTAACCACTACGCCACCAGGCCAGCCCCTAGAGATTGTTTTATTTGTGGGTTGGGCATCGCCATGATATCTCCAGGGTTCTTAACCATTTTTTTCATATTTTTAACTTATATATCCCTTTAGTGATTTCCTTAGATCTGTTGTATAATTCTTTCTAGTTCTCTAGTTGTATCTAGTTGATTGTTTAACCTGTCCGTTGAGATATTTCTCTTTGTCTTAGTGACTAGGTTGTAAAGGAAAGAGACTTAACAATCTGATTTCGATATAGAGACTGTCTGCCTCTCTGAGGTTTGTACCATAAGATGCAGTGGGGCTGCTGCGACATTGGTCCGGGAGTACCAGGATCCTGGACTTCCATCTGACTCTGCTGTGTGACTCTGGACAGGGCACCTCACCTCCTTCATCTTAGTTTCATCAACTATGAAAAACAAGGGACTGGAATATAAAATCTCTCATAGGCCATCATTCTCACAGTGAACAAATAGTTTCTGCATTCAGACTGAGCCGATCAGGAATAATAATAAAAATGTGTTCTAAATTTTAGCTATGTGCCAGCACTGTGCTAAGCATTTTATATGTTTAACTCACTTAATCTTTACAATAACTTATGAGGTAGGCTCTGAGCATTTAACCCACTCTAGGGCACATAGTGAGCAATCAGTATAAGCTAGCTAGCTCTTATTGCTTCTGATAACAGAGACTACAGAGAGTTTAATTAATCTCCCAAAGTTTTCAGAGTAGACATCCCCAAGTCAGCAGTCAGCTTCTTCAGGCCTCTTGTAGTCCGCCAGTGTCACAAACCTGGGCCTTGAAGTCATCCTGAAACTGATATTATTTTATATATGGTGGTAGCTTAGAACTATTAGTTAAGAAGCAATAAAAAATATGAAGGGGTGATGTAGATTTCTCAGGATTCAAAGGCTGTACGTCTCCCCTTCTACCTCTTCCTTGAAGGGTTTGATAGGCAACCTTAAGTATCCTACAGTTTGCTTCAATTAATGTCAAACTTAAAAGATAGGTGGAAATCCAGTTAAGCTCCTGGCTGAGTTAAATCAGGTCCTTCTTCTACAGCAGGGTAATTCTGTGATGAAGCTGTGGTCGTAGGTTTATTTTTGCCTAGGCCAGGTAGCTTTCCCTGCCCCGTAGTCACGTTCCACTCTCCTTACCTTTGACTGTCATCCTGAAAATGTGTCCAGTGGTAATAGGGAGGATTTGGTAACCAGGTCTGGTGAGTCCCATAACTTAACCCAAAGCTAGCACTACTGCTAGGAAAACAGTTTAAACCACATTCATCACCAGAATCCTATTCATCTGAAAGACAATAGAATTATTACTAATTATTGCATATCAGCAAAGTTTCAGCTATTATGTTGTCCCTTCCAGGCTTGTTGATTTGTAAGTTCCCTTGGGTAAAACAGTATAAAATAAAAGGCAAAACTTTATCATGTTTAAATAATGTAATTTTCTTCTTTGGTATATACCATATTATGTGGGAGACCATGGAAACACTAGGCTGTCCACAAGTTAGACAAACACGATGAGCTTTAAAGATTTTATCTTTAACACCCTGCAGTGTTGCCATGGTGGCGGTAGGTATAGATCTGTTTTCATTGATTAAAGGATTTGTGTCTGTTTTCAATTCTGGAAAATTATCAGCTATCTCTTTGCATATTGCTTCTTACTCATTTTCCATTCCCTTATAGAGTCTTTCTTTTTATTATTATTTTTTAAATTTTTTTTGGTGAGGAAGATTGTCCCTGAGCTAACATTTGTGCCAATCTTCCTCTATTTTTTGTATGTGGGACGCCACCACAGCATGGCCTGACAAGTGGTCTGCAGGTCCGCACCTGGGATCCAAACCTGTGAACCCCAGGCCACTGAGGCAGAGCATGCAAACTTAACCACTGCACCACCGGATCAGCCTCTAGAAATTCTTTTAGATGTGGGTTGGGCATCTCCGTGATATCTCCAGGGTTCTTAACCATTTTTTTTATATTTTTAATTTTTATATCTCTTTAGTGATTTCCTTAGATCTGTCATCAAGTTTATAAATTCTCTAGTTGTGTCTACTTTGTTTAACCTGTCCATTGAGATTTTTCTCTTTGTTTTAGTGACTAGATTTTAATTTCTAGAAGTGCTATTTTGTTCTTTCTGAAATTTTCCTGATCTCTCTTCTCTTACTGTCACATTTTTTTAAATCATGGATTTTGTATCTTTGATTACATCTCTCTATCAACTTTGGTCTGCACATTGTTCTATTATCTCTAATTCTTATTGGCTAATTCTTCTGCTTGTTGCATTTATTGGTTCTCCCTCGTGTTGTTTTCCTCCTATGGTTCGTAATTTTTTCTCGTGAGCTCATCTTTGGCAAGGGTCACTCTTTCTGGGTGGTCTCTGGGCCCTGATTGAGAAAGCGTTCCTCCAGAACTTTACGTTTATTTTCAGTCTGAGCCCTAGGGATTTCAATAATCTTGGTCTGTTTTCCTTTTTTTAATATCTCACTTTGGAGTACCCACAACAGAGGAATGCAAACTTGTAACTCATACCCACATGTGGTGCAAGCCTAGAATTTCAGTTTCTCAGGGTGACTTTCTTTCCCATTAATGGCCCCAAACTGATAGCAAGCTTCCATTCTACCTGTCTGGACCATTTTCAGCATTTTTCTAGACGCTTTTTCTAGATGGAGTAGCTTTTCAAGGCTCTGAACTATATGCAGGTGGCCTATCCAGAGGCGCTCTTGGCCCTGGCCAAGGCTGCATCACTTATCTTGTGAGGGCATTGAAACCACTCCACCTTCCCCCAGCCTGCAGGACCTATACGCAATCTTAAAGTCCTAACGGGCAGTCCTTGTGACAGCTGCCATGCCACCAGCTCCTGCCTTCACTCTGAGTGTCTTCTTCCTTCCTGGCACCTGGGATTTCTCTTTCTCTTTTAACAAAGTTTTGCTGTGCTTTCCCAGCACTTCCATGCTGTCTGGCAGGAGGAGGCTGGATGGCATCTGCTCCACCTGTCATGTTGCCATAAATCCCAGAGAGTTTTGTAAGTGGAACAGGCTCCATTCTGCAATGACCTGAGTTTGAATCGTGGGTCCACTACTTCCTCACGGCGTTATCTTGGGCAAGCGACCTAATATTTCTGAGCTTCAAGGACAAAATAGAGATAAACGCTGACTTTCTGGGTTTGTTGGGGAAATTAACCAGATAATGCATGTAAAACTCCTTGAATAGTGCCTGGCACATAGCAAGTCAGAGCATCAACATCAGCTAAGCAAGCTTTCAAAAATACAGATTCCGGGGTGCTGCCCTTTAGATTCGTTAAGTCTAAGGTAGGGCCCAGAAATCTGCATTTTGAAAAGCTCCACAGGGGATCCTGACAGGCCATCAAGTTTGCAAACATTCCTAGGGGTACTCAAGAAATGTTAATAGTGTCAGCAGCCCACATTTCTAAGCACTTCAAACTCCTATGAAATAAAACCTCATTTTCCCCCGACCCTGGTCTTTGCATCCTAGATGCGGTGAGGCTGTAGAGAAAAACAAGCGTCTCATCACGGCGGACCAGAGGGAGTATCAGCAGGAACTCAAAAAGAACTACAACAAGCTGAAAGAGAACCTCAGGCCAATGATCGAGCGGAAAATTCCAGAACTCTACAAGCCTATATTCAGAGTTGAGAGTCAAAAGAGGTAAAAACCGGGCAAAGGAGGATAAGCATAGGGCCTGGGGCCCGGTGGACAGCGCATGCTCTGCTGTGCTCACTCTGTGAGCTGCGGAACCTCCAAGGGGTGGGAGCGGGCCTGCCCACCGAGTGCGATTGGTCCTGCTCCCATCCTTCACCTCCTGACCCTTGTCCTTGACCTCCCCAGACCCTTCATGTTGGCCTTCTGCCAGCTGTCTTCCCAGGGCCGAACCTGAAGGGATCGCAGAACCTTCACTTATTTACTTATTTACTGAATTCCCCATGACTGATAGCCTTCTCTAGTGGGTGATTTTTCCCCCCTCCCTCTCTTTAAAAGGCTAATTGATCTTCTTACCTCTGTTCTCCCTCCCTCCTTAATTTCAGAGACTCCTTCCACAGATCCAGTTTCAGGAAATGTGAAACCCAGTTGTCACAGGGGAGCTAAGAAAAGCTGTCTTCATCCGTGAAGACGGAGGCCCCGCAAGTTGGAAAAGGACTTGTTGGTACTTAAAACATCGGACATTTGCCACGTAGGACAGACCACATGCTCCCTGATGAGACAGCGTTCCAGAAGCTTTGAGATCTAAGTGACCATGGGCATTACACCCAAACAGGGTGTGAAGAGATTTTGGCTATACTGGGCAATGCAGCTGGTGGAGGATGGTTAATCAGGGGCACCTATGTATTTATTAAAGCATGTTTTTTTTAACAATATTGTACAAAACAAGGCATAAACAGCATCTCCTGCAGAGTGGTCCGTCATTGTCTACCCAAGAGATGACTTCCTCTGGCCCAGATTTGAATTTACGGGATAAACCCAAATTGCAGGAGGGAAAATGGAAAAGTTGCCCACCAACCTCTTCAGAGTAAATGTCACTGATCCCCTCTATATGGGAAAGGAGGGTGAGCTTGCAGGAGTGCAAACATCTGGGAGGGGAGGCCTAACTAGAAATCTAAAAATCATGGTGGTTGGAAATTTGGGGATAGATTATTTGTGAACTCGTTACCCTTTTGGTAACGGTGGACTAATTGTTGTATAGTTATTTTTGCTTTATTGTTATTGTTATGTTAATTTAACGTGTTTATAGAGGAAGACACTCAAAGCACTGATTTATGAGATACATGGTACTCTGAGTGGTCAGCCAAAAGTCATAGATGCCGCATTTACTTCAGTTGAAATGATTCTCCCATAATGCTTTGCATTTTTTCTTATGCTCACTCTTGCTCACTCTTTTTCTCCTCCTCCTGGGACCAAGTTTATTTTTATAAAAGGATAGTATCTCTGCTCTCATTTCAGAACATTGTGCTGTCCATCAGCATGTGTACATTACCTACAGAATATATTCAGCTTTGAATTCTCTTGACAATGTACTTTAGGAGAAAGATGAACAAAGTTATTATTTGAGAATTAAATTATATATTTTTAATATGACTGATTGCCCTGACTGGTACGAAAAATGTAATAAGAATTGTAAGCAAAATGTTTCCCTTTGCAACTCGTGTTTTTATTTTGACAATTCAGTGTTTTGTAAAGTACTTAACAGAAGAAAAAAGATGCATAATCCTGGCCTTGGTCAAACACTGCTATCCAGGGGCATTCCTCATATGCAATATTTAATCTTGGTAGTCCTGAGAGAAAATTTAATTTGGATATTCTAGAATTTTTTATTTATACCATCAGGTATGCATGAATTTATATTCTGAAAGAGGAATTTTTTTTAATTACTAAAGTTGAAGTGCCAAACTTTTTGTTTTTTAGGCCTTTCTAAAGTGTATTATACACCTCACTGCTTTCTTAAATGAGTGCACGTGACATTCTTTAATTCCGAATGTTATTCAGCATCTTCTGTGTGGGAGATACTGGGTGAGACCAAAGTCAAAAAACATTGTCACTGCCTTCCAAAGTCACTCAGTTTAGTGAGGAAGAGCATCAATATGTCTGTAGCCATAACACACAGCAGACTGGGACAGTCCTTGTGGAAGTAACCTTCTCTAAGTAACTCAAAGATGCCCATTATTATCAATCCCTATTACATTCTGCACTAAAACAATAAGGATTAGGTGCTAAATTTACTCTCTCTTGTGCCACAGTGGGTACCTCTGGCTTCACAAGTGCAGGAACTGTTTACCGCTGCATTCCCATCCCCTAGCCCAGTGCTCAGCACACAGAAGACAATAAATGTTTGTCGAATGACTAAATGAATGAATGAGTGGGAGTAGACCTGCTTCTAGAACAGCACTGTCCAACAGAAATATAATGCAGGCCACATATATCATTTTAAATTTTCTAATAGCCACATTAAAAAGAATCATAAAAATAGGTGAAATGAATTCTAGTAATATATTCTGTTCAACTCGATATATACAAAATATTATTTCAACATGTGATCAATATAAAAAATTATTGAGGTATTTTACATTCTTTTTTTCATACTGTCTTCGAAATCTGTATGTATGTATCTTACAATTACAGATTGTATACTTTACACTTATCAATTAAGACCAGCCACATTTCAAGTGCTTAATTGCCACATGTGGCTAGTGGCTACTGTATTGGATGGTGCAATTCTAGAAGCTTCCAACTTTTATAACTTGATGCCTCTGATCTGCAGGCTCAGGATAACAAAAGTAGTGGGAATAGCGTCCAGAGTGAGAGTGACAGAATTGTGATTGAGAGCCTGTGGACTTACCTAGAAGTGACTCTCGTGGAGTTGGGGAGTGTGGCCTTCTCATAGGGGTTTTGTGTGCTCATACTCTTTCTGAGCTAACCCTGGCTCTTTCCTCAATTCCGGATAGTTTAGTTGTTCTTTAAGTAACAGTTATAAATAAAGTGGAGGCGTTGCTGCACTTATTTAAATAACGGCATTAAAGAATTTGGACATTGGTCCTCTGACCATGTAGTCTAAATATGGGGTTGAGAAAGAAGCATTTTAAACATTCTGAAGAATAAAGCAAATTAGGCCTTTTGTTTTCCAAAAATGAGAGAACCCTGATATGCCATGGGAACCATCTTGATGTTACTTGGGAAAACCCCCCTATGAAAGCTTCCTGGAAAAATCTTCGGATTAGCTTCATGCCTCTTCTCCTTCAACAAGGTCAAGTGTGCAACTGTCACCATCTTAAGAATTTCAGGAACATGAAACATGAATATACTGCATAGACCTGATTAAGTTTGTCATGCTTCACATTGTCTTAAACGCCATAATTCTATTCCGTAAGGAGTCCTTTCCACGACAATAGATTTGTTTTAAAACGAAAAACTTTTTGAGCCAGCATTGGTAATTGTGGTTGCAGGTATGTTCTCAAAGACAGGGAGCATTCCTTTGTTATCTCAAATGTTGTAAAGCTGTTATTGATTAAGTATCATTTTGCAAAAAACCCTAAAGTTTCTAATATATTCCAGAATGCTGGGTATGTCCACAGTATCCAGGGTATTCTTTCTTTAGACTTCAGGCAATGCTTCCCAATCTTTTTCACATCATGGGTGTAAATGCTATCTATGGAGGAATAACAACCCCCAAACTTAGCTTAAAACAACCAAATATCTCGCCCAGTTCCTGTGGATTACGAATTCGAGGGTGGGTTAGATGAGCAGTCTGACTTGAAGTCTTGCAAGATGTTGGCCACAGCTGCCATCATCTGAAGCCTTGACTGAAACTGGAGGATCCTATTACAAGGTGGCTCATTCATAACATTGGAGAGTTGGTGCTAGTCTTGATGGGGAGAGGCCTCAGTTCCTCTTCATGTGACTCTCTCCCCAGACTGCATGAGCGTCCACGGCATGACCACTGACTTCCCCTAGGGTGGGCGATTCAAGAGAAACAAGACAAAGATGGCAGTGTTGTTTATGACCTAGCCTCAGAAGTCATGCTCCCTCATGCCTGCTATATTCTGTTTTTTAGAAGCAAGTCACCAAGTCCAGTCCACATTCAAGGGGAGTTAGGCTCTACATATTGGATGGAGGAATGTTAAATAATTTTTTAACATATTTTAAAATCACCATAATGAAACACATTAAAATTTTGTATTTGTTGTCTCACTGGGATAAACGGACTAAGATACTTGCTGCTAGAGATGACCAGCCTTGGAGCTCTGGCTGCCCTGAATCCCTCCCTAAGGGCTGGGGCAAGCAACCCTAAGTAATATCTGTAACCCAGCCCACAGTGCACCATGGCACACCACTTGGGAAGCCCTAGCCTACGGGTAGTCCTCAGTTGGCAATCTTTTGTAAGGGACCGAAAAACCAAACTCAATTTGGTGTTTTTAAAGAGGGTGTAGAGTTCAGTGGCTCACTTAACGGAAGAATCCAGAGGTAGCATTGGTTCAGACGCAGCTTGATTCAAGACCCACGCACTATGTCCTGGGTCCATTTTTCATCTCTGCTTCCTTTTGGTTGGCTCCATCCTCAGGCTTTCAGCAGTGGTCCGTGGAAATTCCAGGCTCATCCATCAGGGCGAAGGCAGTCCTGAGCTTTACAACCTCGCACCACCAACCTCCATAAAGAAGAGACGTTCTGCGTTCCAGAATTCCCAGTGGAATTCCTTGGGTTCACTCTGATCGGAGTGGCTCACACTCACGAGGGTTCTCCCTTCACACTGGTAGTGAGGTCAACATCAACTCAGCCCACATGGCTAACAATAGAGGGACTGGTAGTTCCTCAAGGAACTGGGAAGAAAGGGGAAAGGAAGCAAAATAAACCACGGGAGCTCACTGCAGAACATTTTGCTTTAAAGCCAACACATTCAGAAGAAGGAATTTGGGTGGAGATCAGGATTACAGTTTATTTCATATCATACTCACAACCACTGAGCTGGCAGGACCATCCCCAGGAGGGGAGATGACGGGGACGTGCAGGATATGAAGGAGGACCTGGAGCTTATCGCATCCTGAAGAAGAGTGGGGACTGGGGTAGATGCGGGTGGCATGTTTTGCTGTACCAGTAATTCATCCTCTGGAGTGTCTTGCCAAAAATGGTGCAAACGATCAGGAATCGGAACCACAGAGCTGAGGGCAGGGAGGGGCACTGGCAGAACAGTGAGAGCAGCAGAGAAGTGGAATAAATATTAGCTTCAACTGGGAAAAGTCAAGCATCAAGGTTGTGTCACTGTCTCTCTAGTGCCTGGCCCATAGTGGGCACTCAATGAATGTTTGCAAATAACCAAAGTAATGAATGGGGGTGGCCATCAGTGGTGATTTCTGCCGACTGTTCCTTTTCTGTGGCTCTGGGCTAAAAGCACCTAACGGAGGACAGATGATTAGGGACAATTGGCCCCGGAGGAATGGCTTTCCATTCACTCTTGATTTTACCTATTATCATTGCCTAGGCAAGAATTAAGAGGATTTTTTCCCCTTTTCTGATGACTTCTCTTGAATCATCCTAGACCTTACCTTTAATAATCTTAAATCCAACCTCACAGAGCCTGATTAAAAACCCAAATCTCTGAAGGTCATAAGTTTTCGGTCATAGAATTACTCGAGGCAGTGTGGCATAGCCTGGTTGAAAAGTATTTGGAGAGCTGTCCACCTACCTGGTCTCTAAGGCCTCGTGTGTAGCACATCTTAGGGGAGCATTGCTTTTTCTAGAATGATGCTACTGGGTCCAACCTAGTTCTTAGTCTGATGATGATCTTTGAGGCATTAGCTTGATAGCTAAATGGCTTCCTCCTTTACTATTTTCCTCACACTTTGGAAGATGGCAAGTCACTGGTACAAGAATAAGGGAGTGATTTTCAAGGTGGTACAGCTCTAAAGGGTGCAGTCAAGAAATAACCTCTCTTGTCCCTTATCAGTTCCTTTATGCAGTAAGAGAACAGTACACGGATGAACAAATTGTTCTGTTAGCCAACAGGATTATCAGGATGATTAGTAAAACAATTTTTTTTTTTTTTTTTTTTTGAGGAAGATTAGCCCTGAGCTAACTACTGCCAATCCGCCTATTTTTGCTGAGGAAGTCTGGCCCTGAGCTAACATCCATGCCTATCTGCCTCTACTTTATGTGTGGGACGCCTACCACAGCATGGCTTTTTGCCAAGCGGTGCCATGTTCGCACCTGGAATCTGAACCGGCAAACCCGGCCCACCAAGAAGTGGAACACACGAACTTAACCACTGTGCCACCCGGCCAGCCCCTAGTAAAACAATTTTTAAAAAGACTATGTGACTGCCAAACATCTCTGGACCCAGGATCAGAAGTCCCGGTTTCTTCTTCTTCCACTTTCTAGTCCTGCACCTCTGGCCAAGTTGCTGTACCCTTCTGAGCTTGAGGTTTTTCCCTGTAAAAAGAGGGATAAGAGTTGCTCGGTTTTCTTCCAAGCGGCTGAGGGAATCCAATGAGATAGTTAATGCACGGAACGTGTTTTAGAAACTGAAAAGTGCTGCCCCGAATGTAAGGAAGCACCATTTACAACTGACACCTCCAGAAAGTTTAGCCAGGCCCCTACACGTTATATCCGTGTATGCGCCGCGGGCCACATCAATCAAAAGCAGGTCAAAGGTGCAGGCAGGACAGAGACCTGACTTACCAGAAAATACATGCCTGGTCTGTTCAACTTGCAGTGCCAGTGTATGCTTGTCGTCTGGCAAAGGCCAAGCAAGGGCCTTCAGGGTAGAAGAAAGAAAGGGTAGCAGCGGAACCGAGAGGGCACACAGTGGCGCCTGGAAACCCAGTCCGACCTGGCTTCCCTTCTCCTCTCGTGCAGCATGTCTCCACTGCATTCCTCTGGAAGGTAAATACACGGATTCCAACAGCCCACCTGGGTGTCCCCCAGCCTGCAAGTGCTCCCTGAGGGTATCAAAGCACACCGACTTCCACTTGAAACAAAGCCACCAAGCGGCAAGTTTCCCTGCTAGTAATAAGGAAGAAAGACAGGACTTGGCAGCCGTGATGGATTTGCAATAATCAAGCTCCTGTTTCTCGTTTAGAAGCACGGGGTTTGTCGGTATCCTCGCTGCTTCACTCCATCGGATGCAGCCGCGACGCGAATGTCTCTAGATGCATGTTAAGTAAAAAGTTTCTAAAGAGGATTGCGTGGAGCCCAGCAATTGATTAAGAAACTCAATGGCCCTAATCCACGGAGAACTGAGCAACTAGCAAACGCAGCAGTTTAAATCAGGCTCAGGGAAATCCAGCAACCCCCCCAGGGTGTTAATGCGCATGCGCCTTAAGATGTGAACGCTGCTTCCGCGTAAGGGCTGCGTGTAGCTGGGAAATGGGAAGGGACGGTCCAGTGCGACGTCAGCCGAGGGATTCGGGGACGCTCAGTGGGCCTGTCTTCTCAGGAATTGTGAAGCTGCAGGACAAGGAGTCGCAGTGGGAATCAAGTGAAGTAGTACCGTGGGAAATGAGCATAGTCCTAAAATCTCCTTCCTGGGCCCCCTCCCACTGGAGGAACCGGAAAATGCAGCTAAATGTGTATTTGGAATGACAAGGTGAGAGGAAGGGGAACCTTCCACCTGTGCCAGGCTTGGTTTCCCCTGCCTGAACTGTGATTCTCATGGCAAGTCCACACAGCTGAGAGGGCAAGTGGGACAGCCTTTCCTACAGATGAGGGAAGACCGAGTCCCCGCCCTAAGAGAGTACCCGACTCCAGCGGGGCACATGTGTGCACACAGCTATGGTGGAAGTTTGAAAGGGCCGCCCCCCTCCATTACATCTGAGCTCCAATTTGGAACCTAGCCACAGGTTAATCCCACTCCACACTTGCTTTTTGAAACTTTCTCCCTTGCCTTCCCAAGCCCTCTCCCGCCCCACCTCCCCCCGCCCCCTCCCCCCCATTGGCCTCACACTCTCTAGTTTTATCTGTGTCTTAGACTGTCCCCTCTACTTGTTTGGAAGTTCCCTGAGTCCAGGAGCTCTCTCTCTCTTTTTATCAGTGAAGAGATTGAAGATCAGGAAGTTCTTATCCAAGTAGACAGTAGCCATCCTGGGTAGTTAAGACAGACTCATTCCAAGTTTCTTGCTGTGTTTCTTGTAAACTAGACACTAGAAAATTTAAACTCTCCTTCAACTAAATGATGCCAAGGTGGTTGTTTTGCAAGGAGCTGGGCAAAGTCATATTAATAGAGGAAATATAACTTCTTCAAATAACACTAGATTGTGTTGTCACTGGGCTATATGAAAGCTCACTAGGTTGAAGGTGCTTGTTTTTTAGGTAATGAATGAGAAAATCTACGCTAGCTCTCACTGTGGGAACCTGCACTGTGATCTGATCACCCAC